CCTAACTGTATCATTTTAAAGCTGAAAACGATGAATACCATCACATGACAGAATTGGCTATTTTGCCCATCTCGATCCGAATAATTTGGAAACGGTTGCTTGCCAACCAGCTGAGAAAGCCTCTGAGGAGATAACCCTTTGCAGCCCTTTTTAAACGCCAAGATCTCCCTACCCAATACTTGAAGCCTACGTCACGGGATGAACACAGTAGGTTGCCGTTTCTTAAGCGTGTGATTCAGCTGTATTTAACACATGTGATGAAGTGGTAATTGTCCAAACTGGCTTTGGGAAGAAGGGTTCAGCACCTTGGGCAGATTCTTTAAAAATTTCAACGAAAACTCAAAGTGGATTCACCTTCCAACTCATATGGAAAGTACCAAGAGAGTATTTAAATACATTTGTTTTGCGTTCTCAAACAGAGCAGGAATTGCTGCTGAAGGATTCATACACTCCGCTCTTGTGAACCCTGCAATATCGGTACTGCTGTGGTTTGGCACCGGTTCCTCTATGATTTTGAATCGGCATTCCCTCCCCCGCTATCTTCCTTTTAGGTCATTTTTAGAAAACCGAATTTGCCGGCCTTTGACTCCGTTGCCAGGTTCAGCACAATTCAATTATCCCTTCTGTCGCTGCTTTGCAAGAATAGCTCCGGCTCCTTGAGGCCGGCATTCCCACATTCCAGGGCTCGCCATACGCATGGCTTGGAACACGGCTGTGCCATTAACTCCTTGCAGACAGGAAAAGCCTCCTTCCTAGAGACGGAGTCCAAAAGGGCTCGGACACATCTGGCTTCGATTTTTAGAAAGCAGGTCTCGTTCAATTCAAGGAAACTCATCCGAGAAACCTTCCCAGTGGATTGTATCCGTAGCCTAAGATATACCTGTCAGTAGAACACAAAAGGTTCTCAACCTTTCTAACTCCGTGACCCCTAAATATGTTCCCTCATGTTGTGGTGACCCCCAACCAAAAAATTATTCTTGAGAGCATGAGGCAGGCGAGGGAGGCTTTGTGCGAGGCCAGGCCTCAAGTGAAGGAGCCCACGCCTGGCTCTCGCCCTTGCCGGCCAGCGAGAACACAAAGCAGGCGAGGGTGGCTTTGCGCGAGGCCAGGCCTCACGTGAAGGAGCCCTTGCCTGGCTCTCGCCCTTGCCAGCTGGCGAGAGCTCGAGGCAGGCAAGGGTGGCTTTGCACGAGGCCTGGCCTCATTCAAGCAAAGCCTTGAGGGACAGGGGCCAACAGAGGTGGCCTCATGACCCCACCGAAATGGCCAAACGACCCCCTTGGGGGTCACAACCCCCAGGTTGAGAACCGCTGGACTGAATCGATTCACTGTTTTCTGTGGGAGTTTTGCTTTAGTGTAATTAAGCAGGCAAGGGAGGCTCTGTGCGAGGCCAGGCCTCACATGAAGGAGCCCTCGCCTGGCTCTTGCCCTTGCCAGCCGGTGAGAACACAAAGAAGGCGAGGGTGGCTTTGTGCGAGGCCAAGCCTCTCGTGAAGGAGCCCTCGCCTGGCTCTCACCCTTGCCAGCCGGTGAGAACACAAAGAAGGCGAGGGTGGCTTTGTGCGAGGCCAAGCCTCTCGTGAAGGAGCCCTCGCCTGGCTCTCACCCTTGCCAGCCGGTGAGAACACAAAGAAGGCGAGGGTGGCTTTGTGCGAGGCCAAGCCTCTCGTGAAGGAGCCCTCGCCTGGCTCTCACCCTTGCCAGCCGGTGAGAACACAAAGAAGGCGAGGGTGGCTTTGTGCGAGGCCAAGCCTCACGTGAAGGAGCCCTCGCCTGGCTCTCACCCTTGCCAGCCGGTGAGAACACAAAGAAGGCGAGGGTGGCTTTGTGCGAGGCCAAGCCTCACGTGAAGGAGCCCTCGCCTGGCTCTCACCCTTGCCAGCCGGTGAGAACACAAAGAAGGCGAGGGTGGCTTTGTGCGAGGCCAAGCCCTTCACGTGAAGGAGCCCTTGCCTGGCTCTCGCCCTTGCCTGGCTCTTGCCCTTGCCGGCTGGTAAGAGCGCGAGGCAGGCAAGGGTGGCTTTGTGCAAGGCCTGGCCTTGACCAAAGCCTTGGGGGACGAGGCCAAAGGAGGTGGCCTCGTGACCCCTCCGAAATGGCCAGATGACCCCCTTGGTGGCAGCGACCCCCAGGTTGAGAACCACTGGACTACATTGATTCACTGTTTTCTTTGGAAGTTTTGATTTAGTGTGATTTGCTGGCATGTCAGCTTTGACTTATGGTGGTCCTAGGAAAGAGAGAACTCCAGAAAGGTAGTTCTTAATTGAGCTTATGACTTCTTTCCGCTTCTTTTTCCCACGGCCTTCTGATATCCATATAAATAAAAATGTAATGTTCGTTTGTGGTATCAACATAACTCAAAAACCACTGGACGAATTGCCGCCAAATTCGGCCACAAGACACCTACTAACCCAAGGAGCAACCATCACTCAAAAAAATTTGATTTAGTCATTTGGGAGTTGTAGTTCTGGGATTTATAGTTTACTTACAATTAAGGAGCATTCTGAACTCCACCAATGATAGAATTGAACCAAACATGGCACACAGGACTCCCATGATTAGCAAAAAACACTAGAAGGGTTTGGTGGGCATTGACCTTGAGTTTGGGAGTTGTAGTTCACCTACATCCAGAGAGCACTGTGGACTCAAACAATGATGGATCTGGAAAAAACTTGGCATGAATATTCCATATGCCCAACTATGGGCATTGTATGTTTTTAACCTGTTTCCCCTTCCCTTCCGCTCCCTCACCCATATTGTGCTTCAGTAGTTATATTTATATTTTTAATGTACCAAACATACCAAGCTTGTATGAAAATGTGACTCTATTTCCTTTGCTGGTCAAATTTTAAAAATTACCTAAAATCAGTAAATATATGAATATTTCTGAAAGTTGGGGGGAATTATCCCATGTTATCTTGTATCATTGTAGAGAAAATTCAAGGAGATCGTTCTTGGAGTGTTTTTTTTTAATGTAAAAACTGAAAATTCCCCAAACGTCTGTGAGTAAGTGAAATGTTCTGAAACATGATGGGCTCACAGTGGTCAATGTATTCGACCATTGTAGCAAGTGTTGCGACCCAGAGCAAGAAACTGGGCCCTCTTGACAACAATCCACCACACTTGACTGCAGGAATACAATCCTTTTTATTGAAAAACGTTGAATGTAAAGCAGAGGAAAAATCAGAAGTAAATAAAAACCATAGCAAAACAGCAACAAGCAATGTCCATGAACGAGTCCATTAAAAAGACACAGCAAACGATGATTTACCCTTGATGAATCATGAAATCTGCTAGCTCCCAGCTAACAGCACTTGGAACAACTTGAGAAACTACGAGAAACCCAGCCACTTGAGTCAGGAGGCCTCCACAGGCATGCACTTGGAAACTGGAAGGATGCCTGGTCTGAAGGCAGCTTCAGACCTGGCACTCTTAAAGGAGAGAAATCTATTACGAGACACGCCTGAAGTTTTTGTTTGCATTTCTCTCAATCTTTCTGACCTCCGTAAACTTTGTGCTTCTCCCCTGCTCTGCCGAATCTGCCCCCTCCTTCCCTCATTAGGCTGACCAGGTGTCAGATTCTCTGGGGAACTAAGGCTGGGAGAAAAAGGGAGTGAAACTTCTCCGCTAGGGAGTGAAACTTCTCCGCTAGGGAGTGAAACTTCTCCGCTTGGTTCGGAATGAATGTTCTCATGGGAACTTTGACTTTCACTTTCCAAGGGTGTAGGATTTTCACTATTCAACCCATCATCAGTATTATCTACATTGGCCTTAGAATCAACATTGACATCATCTACATTAGCATCAGGAAATACAATCAAAGAATCAGGTACAGGGCCACACAGAGGCTGAACCCCAATAGCAAGTTTCACCCCAGTAGCTGTACAAATGAGGGAAAATGGGGCTTCTGAAGTTTCCCCACTTGCGCAATTACAATAACGAAAAAGTAACAAAATTTCGTAACTCTCATTATAGAAATGAAATTTTCACTAACGACACTTTAGAAACACTGTAGAAACGAAATGCCAGCACCCCCAAATTTTGGAATGAGATTTGAAACATTTTTTATTGATCACACATGCCTTTGTGCACTTCCCCAGTACCACGTTTCAATTTGATTATCTTTATGCTTGCTTTCCTCAATGAATCAATAAGTATTGATTTGGATGTTGTGGCTGAGCTATTTTCTGACGATAAGGATGATGGGATTCAGATTCCTGCTGGGATTCAGCTTCCTGGCTTTTTGTCTGTGCCTCAAATTTCTGGGCCTGCTTCTGAAGCTCCCACAGGCAGTGCAGTGTCAACACAGTCGTTTCCACCAGAAAGGAATTTTAACGAAGGAGATAGCGAGCAGGTGCCTTCCCACGCTGATACCGAAAGTGTAGATAGTGACTTGACTCGGGAAACTCGCCTTGATCTCCGGGTCAGGCAGAGTTCTCGTCTGGCCAGCAGACGAGAAGCCAGCTCAGTGAAAGGTCGTCGCAATGCTTTTATGATGATGAGAGCCTAATGTTTTCATGTTAGAAAGGTATTTAGGCCTCTTGCAAACTCTGAGAAAGCGTCAGTTCAACGTAGCTTACTAGCCTGAAAGCTTCATGGAATAACCTTAGCCTGGAAAGCAGTACGCTTGGGATTTCTTGCATTGTGATTCATGGGGCAATTGTTCCATTGCTTGTACCTGGGACTCTGGTTTGAACTCTGCCAATAGGATTGTGTCTCCTGTTTTTACCTGAAGGTCTTTGGAACTATATTCTGCATTTAACCTTATTCTTTGGAACTTTGCAATGCTTATTCTTTATTTTTTTCCTCAATAAACTATAAAACTACAGCTCTTGTGTGGTGAGGTTTGGAAGCAAGGTGAAGCTTACTCTGAGTTGCAACATTGGATTATCTTTAGCAACTACTTCAAGAGATTTTACTCCAGTTTGAACTAGCAACAAGATTTAAGCCAAGGTACAGCTTTGAAATGAAAATAAGTAATATATTATTATTTTTTCCAGGATCCAGCCGGGATATTTGAACTGGTGCAAGTGGTTGGAAATGGAACATATGGACAAGTCTACAAGGTATTGTATATTTTTTTTAAAAAAAGGGGGGGTACATATTGTAAAATGTCACTGAAATCCTGAGTATAATGGCTGTATTGGAATATATTACATGGTTGGACACTCTTATCTATAGCACGGCTTCATGTCTGAATCTAAATTGTGTTATGGACTCTACTTACATTGGATTATGGACTTGACAAAGTTATCAGCTGTATTTTGGGGATAGATTGCAAACCACTGTTTGTGCAATTTTACGTCTGAATTCACAGATCTCCGAGTGCAGTTGCTTCTTTTTAGTAATAAATAAAATGATTGAATCTGCAAAGAGGACTAAAGTAAGTAAGTAATCGCATCAATCTGTGCTAAATTGAAGTTATGTGGTTGCGTGTCTTAAGGACAGTCAGACATTCAAGGAGATTGCTGTTGTCACATTTTGGGGGGATTCATTGATTTTGTCTAAACTTTTTAAAAAATCCTCAAAAATCTGTAAATGTGCCAATCTTTCTGAAACTTATAAGGATTAATGTCTTAGTTATCTTTATGCATCATATATAAAATCCAAGAAGATAGCTCTTGTTTTTTTTAAATGTTGTTTATAAAAACTTTGAAAATTTCCAAAAAAATCCGTGAAACACTCTGAAATTTGGTGGGCTAATGGTGGTCAATGTGTTCTACCATTGTAGCAAGTTTCACACCAATAGCTTTAAAAATGAGGGAGAAGGGAGATCCTGAAGTTTCCCCAAATATCCGAGGGGTATTTTTTAAGTAAGGTCCGTTGGAACATAAGTACACAATGAAAGTTTATTTCAAAAAAGTAAATTTATTTTCAGAAAGTACATACTTCACTCTATTTTTCGACATAGTTGCCAAGTTTGTTCAAACACTTATCATACCTCTGAACCAATTTTAAAATACCCTCTTCATAAAAACTTGCCACCTGCTCCGATAACCAAGAGTTCACTGCCATCTGTAATCAAAGAAGGGCGACCGGAGCAGTCCTCATCATGGATGTTGTCACGGCCATCTTTGAATTGTCGTACCCACTTACGCACTTTGCTTTCACTCATAACAGTATCACCATACACTTCACAAATCTGTCAATGAATTTCTGCAGCAGGCAGGTTCCTTGCTGACAAAAACCGTATCACTGAGCGAACCTCACATGCGGAGGGTGAGTTGATAGTCTTAAACATTTTTAAAGCACAGAACAGAACCGTACAGGTTAGCTACAGAGCGGAAACTGAGCACAGTTGTTCCCGAGGCATGCCGGTACACGACGCACATGCTCGTTGCGGTATGCGTGCGAACTACTAGTGTCTACAACAAAACGGACCTTACTTTAAAAATACCCCTCGTAGTAATCTGTCACGTTGCCAGGGCTCTGCCAATATTTAGGCAGAGATGAACCAAACTCTGTTTGTCTTAAACAATTTAATTAAAACAGGATTTAATTTCTGGCTGTTTTAATAGTCCAGAACTTCCTGACTGTGAGAGCCGTTCAGCAGTGGAACTCTCTGCCCTGGAGTGTGGTAGAGGCTCCTTCTTTGGAAGCTTTTAAACAGAGGCTGGATGGCCATCTGTCAGGATGTCTGGACCAAAAGAAACTAAATAAAGTGGATTGGTTGCCAGCTTTCGCCTGTTGCTGCTTTTTTGGATGCTGTACTATAACTTCCAGCTCTACTATAACTCCCAGAGATGCATGGCTCCCATTCTGGCCGTAAGCAAAAGCCATCCTTTATGTTTGGTTATTTATTCTGATTTTGGGAACGTGCTTTTCCTTTCTCTTTCCCTTCCTCCTGCATTTCTGGCTTGGTGCGGAAACATCCATCCAAAGAGTGCAAGAGATTGGCCTGTTTCCAGACCAGAGACAGAACGACATGAAAGAATAGATCTATCTCTATATATATTTATGTTTTGGGAGGAGGCAACGCAATGCAAGGCCTTGTTAAATTATGAAGGACGAGAGCAGCTTGCGCACTGTGTGGAGAGAAGCCTGGAGGGAACGCCTGGGGCAATGGCTGGAAGGCTAAATTTAAGGAATGTGTACCAAGAAAGAGCATTAAAAAAAGAACATAGTTTGGAACAACAAGTGAAGAGTGGTTTCTAACCATGGCTTTGAGCCTGAAATCTTTCAGATCCCCTTGTCCTACTGAGAGGGTTGCCAACCACCGAGTATTCCCCCTTTGGGTTTGGGTCTTGGGTCCCAAGATCTTGGAACAGGTGGGGACCAAACAACTCCAAAGATTCTTGGACGATGCTGATTTTTCTAGATCCAATTCAATCCAGCTTCAGGTGGGGTCACAAGACAGAAACAACTTTGGTTGCATTGGTGGATGAACTTCAGGGGGAACTGGACAGGGGGGTTCCCTGATAGTCCTCCTAGAGCTTGGGGGAAATAGAGCTTGGCATTTGGGAGTTGTAGTTGCTGGGATTTATAGTTCACCTACAATCAAAAAGCATTCTGATCCCCACCAATGATAGAATTGGGCCAAACTTCCCACACAGAACCCCCAGGACCAACAGAAAATACTATGTTTTCTGATGGTCTTTGGTGACCCCTCTGTCACCCCCTAGTGACCCCCTTAGTGGTCCCGAACCCCAGGTTGAGAAACACTGATGTAGATGTTAAACAACATGAGGGATAGTATTGACCCCTGAGGAACCCCACAAGACAATTGTTGCGGAGTTGAACAGGAGTCCCTCAATAACACCTTCTGGGAATGGTCCTCTAATAATAATTTATTTGTCATGTCTGGGCAACCAGTCAATTGTATTACATTTCTAACAAAACAAAACAAAACAGACAAAATACAAAATTTGTGAGTTTGGTAGTTGATTAAATGTCCTTTGACCAGTATCTGGCCACTTGGAGTGCCTCTGGTGTTGCTGCAAGAAGGTCCTCCATGGTGCATCATGTGGCAGGGCTCAGGTTGCATTGCAGCAGGTGGTCAGTGGTTTGCTCTTCTCCACACTCGCATGTCGTGGACTCCACTTTGTGGCCCCATTTCGGAGTCAGGCCATCAAGAAGATAATTATTTGGCAGAATTTTTAATCACATTACAAAAGACATTCACCCAAAATCTCCCCCATTGTGCCCCTGCCTGACCGCAAGAGGAAAAGCCGGATTAAGTGATCAATGCTTATCTCAGATCAACCACGACACAATAGACAGGTTTCACTTGAAGGCCATTTAGGACTCGCTGAGCCACATGGACATTTCCTGAGTTCCATAATCCATTCAAGAATGCATTGTATTCCCTTGTCCCACCTCCCTCCCTCTTGATTTGTTGACGCGCCAAGGCGGAAGAAGCCCTGTAATTGGCCCAGGTGCTCGAGGGGCAGACAAGCCTCCTCCCAGCTGTTGAGGCGCCAGCCAATCACCTTCAAGCCAGGCAGGGGGGGGGGGGGGGGAGATTCAAACCACACACTCTGTTTTTTCTATAAAAATGGCATTTATTTGTGTACATGTATGCTTAGCTTGGCGAATGATTGCTGCTTTGCATCCTTTTCAGCTGAATCGCTAATAAACATCTCGGTGGCACTTTCTTCAACTTTGGTGAGATTCTTTTTGGGAACTTAGGAAAAATAAATTGCTTAAAATGAGGCTTCTCTTTGCTCACCAACGTAGCGATCCCTTTTTGGTGGGGCCGCAGGGTCTCTCCTCCTGGGGAAGACCCTTCTAAAGTTCCTATCGACTTCACTTTAACTGCCAAGGCTCAATGCAGGGACACCTTGAAGTTTACTGCAGATGGAAAGGGTACATAGTGTTTCCATCGGATGAAACCTTTTGGACGAAACTCTGAGTAGTGGAATCAGTAAAAGTGTTTTCTACTTCAAACAATGGCTATCTTGCAACCGCATGTCTGCAGAAGCGATTTGACCTCCTTTTTAATGGGCTGCTCAGAGAGAGAGATGTCATCCATCTTTTATGCTGAGCTGGGAAGAGCCAATGCCGAAATAATGTTATTTCTCTTCCAGCCTATTTTGGTTCTCTCTCTTTTTTAATTTCTCAGATTCATTGCAAATTACATGTGCGGACAATGTGTGTAAATAAATCATGGAGTCCATTATCGAAATCAGCGGCGTATTTATTTCACAAAGGCGCTCTTTGGGTCTTGGAGGGGGAACGCTCCCAAACACAAAAGTTCTAAAAGCATGAGATTTAAGCAAACGCAGCCGAGCAGAAGGGATTTGTAAATTGTTTATTCCTTTGATCCCCCTTCTTCTTAAAATCCCAAGACAAAACCACCGCAACAAGAACACACTTCAGAAGAGAAATCCTCATAAAACTTGACTCAACAGAAGCTTTCCAGCTTCAAAACAATGCATTTCAAAAAAATAATAATAAAGGAGGGGGGAAATACTATTGCGTTATATTCTGAAATAACTTGATTCTCCTTAAATTGCCCAGAGGTTGTACAAGATGGTTTTGTTTAAAAAAAGAGCTCTTGAGTAATACGTACAAGCAATACAGAAATGAGCAACTGGAATTAATAAAAGTAAACAGTGATACAGGTTGCATATAGTTGAAAAAGAAAAAGACTTCCCTTGACTCCACGGTCTTGAATAACTATAGACCAATCTCCAACCTCCCTTTTTGGGCAGGTTGTTGGAGCGGGTGGTCGCCTCCCAGCTCCAGGGTTTTCTGGATGACATCAACTATCTGGATCAGTCACAGTCTGGCTTCAGGCCTGGTCACGGCACCGAGACGGCTTTGGTTGCCTTGGTGGATGACCTCCGCAGGGAGCTGGACAGGGGGAGTGTGACTCTGTTGGTTCTCTTGGACATCTCAGCGGCTTTCGATACCATCGATCATGGTATCCTTCTAGGACGACTCTCCTGAAAAAGACCTCCCTTGACTCCACGGTCTTGAACAACTACAGACCAATCTCCAACCTCCCTTTCTTGGGCAAGGTGTTGGAGCAGGTGGTCGCCTCTCAGCTCCAGGGCTTCCTGGATGACATCAACTACCTGGATCAGTCACAGTCTGGCTTCAGGCCTGGCCACGGCACCGAGAC